ACCTCACTTCTTCGGATGCATCCGAAGAAGTGAGGTTTTTACTCACGAAAGCTTATGCCCAAATATATCTGTTAGTCTTTAAGGTGCCACCAGACTCCTTGTTGTTTCTTTAGTTGAAATGACTTATTTTCATAGGGTCACTCAAGAATAGGGTGCAAATATATATGCATGATACAACTCCTGAAATGTGCACCTAGGGTTTGTGTTGCAATACAGAAGCGCCAGAAACTTGGATTCACAAAAGAAGTTATGCTGAGCATCACAACACCTTACATTTAGGCATGTGGAAAATCACTGCAATTCACAAAGCCTGAGTTAGGCTCCTATACAATGAATGGGGAGAGATAGGCACCATAGACTGCAATCCTGAAAAGCCAGCGTAAGCTAGCCAGTGGGAGGTGCTGACAGCAGGGCAGTGTACTAATTCTGCCTCCTCAGAGAGATAGGTGCTTAAGACCAGGATGGAGGGAGGCATCTATATCTGCTTATGATTCACAGGCAGGAATCCTCTTTGGAGTAAGGCACCTATGCTGTTTGGAAAGAAGCAGGAGGTGGAGGCCACTGCTTGCCTTATAACATTTATCCCACTGGTTAGAGAACTTGCCTGGGGTCTGGGAAACCTAGCTTCAATTCACCCCTTCTGCCCAAAGAGAAAGAATTTGAATACAAATCTCTCACCTCTTATTCAAGTGATCACTGAACTATGGGATAGCCTGATGTGTGACTCCTCAATCTCTGCTGGTGAAGCTGTTGTACTCTGGATAAATAATGAAAGAGTGATTGGAGCAGGGGGACTGGAACTGCATGGGTGCCCTCACTACTGGCCTACAGAATCATTCTCACACACACTCTCTCTCTGTCTGGCCCAGTGACTATTTAAGTACCTATTCAGAGTGGAAAAGTCATGGGCCAGACAGAAAGAAAGACAGAGAGAGAGAGAGAAAGAGAGAGAATCTATGGTCCAATGGTTAGTGCACCCACGTCAGAGGTGGAAGCTTGTAGGAGCACTCCCCCTGCTTCAATCACTTTGATTATTTATCCATAGGGGAACAGCTCCGACAGGAGACATTGTGGGAAACCTACATCAGAATATCCCATTACTCAGTGGTTAGAGAACTCCCCTAAGAGGTAGGAGGCGCCTATTGAAATTTTTCTCCACCTCTGGTAGAGGGGGTGAAATGAGCCTGGGTTTTACACATCCCAGGCAAATGCTCTAATCACCAGGCTAAAAGTTATAAGGTGAGTACTGCCACCACCATTTCCACCCCAGGCAAAATTTTGAACGGGATGCAGTCCAATAGGTGGTCTCTAAGCATGCCAACCAAATCCAATCCATCATGCAGCCAAACACTTATTCTTCCCTGGTTTGTGAATTTCTCTGGGGCTTAGATGTGAGACAGATACCCAGATGCCCAGAATGAGGCAAAAATATGCATGCCCAGAGGCAGAAATTTAGGTGCAGAAGGAACCTTTACTCTGAAAACTTAGGTACTGAGTGAATTCAGGGACCTACAGGGGTTAGGCGGGAGTTTTGTGCATTGCATTGGAGCCAAAACTGGAACTTAGGCACGTAACTCCTTTTGTGCATCCAGGCCCGAGTCAACATTTTAAACCACTTACTTGTAATTCGTGCTTTTAGGAAGGAACAAAGATGGGGGAGAGGGAAGCCTTGGCTTTGTTATCATTATTATTTTAGAAGGGAACTGCATAACAAATCTTGGTTTATCTTTATTTTAGCCTAGTCTCATTGCAGATACACTTATCTAGATTGGTTTGTATTAGAGGTCATTTGCTTTAGGAATCTTACAAATCTGGCAGATGTAGTTAATTTACCATTTAGATTACAGAAGTACCTCTGATAATTTTCAAGCAAATAGAGGACTGGAACCCCTTATATATGATAAAATCTATCATCTTAACTGTTACCATAAATTAGCATTTTAAATTAGCAATAAAATTGGGTTTTGTCAGCTCATAAAACTAAATCTCAATTTTTGTTTCGGATAAGAGCCGGCACAGCATTTTCACATTGTTTTAAGTACTAAGCTAATATGGCATTTTCATAAGGGATACACATTTTGGTTTAAATATTAAATAGCTTAATCTTGAATCTGATTAAGAAAAGGCCTAAGGTTCAGATAAGTATCAGTACCCGAGATATTGTAGATTTACATGGTGGCACTATTTCTCATCAGGTTGAGATCCAGATTTAAATTGAGAATGAGGAGATATGATGCATTTATGGACGAAGAATCTGACTGTCACCTGCTTTGCACCTGATGATTTCAAGGTGGGTATAAAACATTAACAAATCAGAAGGATAGCATTTTATACCACTTTGCATATATGTAAATGACTACTCTAGGGGCTAGGGAGTGGTGAACGAGGCATGAAGTCTTTAATTGTCTCGTGGATTAGATACATATCTTTAAATAACATACAACTAAAAGAGATGCATTTGAAAAAAAAATCCCTATCCATTAGCCTGGGGTGGCCAACCTGAGCCGGAGAAGGAGGCAGAATTTATCAATGTACATTGTCAAAGAGCCACCCTAATACATCAGCAGCCCCCCATCAGCTCCCTGCCTCCCTTCCCCCACTGGAGTGGAGGCAGTTCCTGTGGCAGAGCCAGGGGTTGAGCAATGAGCACCCCCCAGCACATTGGAAAGTTGGCACCCGTAACTCCAGCCCCAGAGTCGGTGCCTAGACAAGGAGCCGCATATTAATTTCTGAAGAGCTGCATGTGGCTCCGGAGCCACAGGTTGGCCCCCCCTGCATTAGCCATTCATGAATATAGAACTCCCCAACGGGAGATTCTGTGCTCAGGATAGCTATCTTTATACTGTGTCATGTAATATAATTAAGGCTGACTCATGCTCAGTAGGTCCTGTAATAATTGCACATCATGGGCCTAAGAACCATCAGTGCTCCCATTTCATAGAATCATAGAATATTAGGCTTGGAAGAGACCTGAGCAGTTCATCTAGTCCAATCCCCTGCTCAAAGCAGGACCAACACTAACTAAATCATGCCAGCCAAAGCTTTGTTAAGCCGCGCCTTAAAAGCCTCTACAGATGGAGATTCCACTACCTCCCTAGGTAACCCATTCCAGTGCTTCACCACTCTCCTAGTGAAATAGTGTTTCCTAATATCCAACCTAGACCTCCCCCACTGCAACTTGAGATCATTGCTTCTTGTTCTGTCATCTGCCACCACTGAGAACAGCCTAGCTCCATCCTCTATGGAACCCCCCTTCAGGTAGTTGAAGGCTGCTATCAAATCCTCCCATCACTCGCCTCTTCTGCAGATTAAATAACCCCAGTTCCCTCAGCAGTGCCTCATAAG